GTATTCAAAAAACTTTTGAGCTAATTTTTTTTAACAAATAAAAATTTAATTTTATAATAAAGAAGCTTTACAACCATTTTCTTTTTGCTGGGACAAACTTCATTGGCTCTTCTGGAAATTCCGGAAGTCCTTCGATGCAATTCGGTGCCGTAAATTTGTTGAAAAAGACACCTCCAACAGCTTTGTCCGGTAGACCATTATTTTTTTTCAAACAGATATAGAAAGCTTCATCGCACATGCAATGTGATCTAACAAAAACAAAAAACTTCTATTATGATTCACACTTACTGGCTAGTCACATAAAAGCTTACAGAGGAACTTACTTAGTGTATATAGCCAAATTTTTCAAACAATATCGTTCTTTTCTGCTAAGTACTTTTATCGGGCAGAGATCATGGGCACGACAACACCTGAATGTCAAATGAAAAATTAATTTTATTATATGCTCTAAAATAAGATGGGGAGCGCTTGTAGGATTAAATATTTGTGTACCTATCGGTATTCCGAAATTTTCCTAAATCGTGGTATCTTTCAGCTATATCGCCGAAACCGCACCATTTTGTACCTGGAAAAAAAAAAAAAAAAAAAAAAAAAAAGAAATTCGAATTCTATCTTTGATTAATTTCAGTTTACCAACAAAGCATTAAAATAATAGGTGTGATTACGGACGGAAACGAAAGGACATTATATTTTGTATAAACTTGAGGTTTTCAGTTGTATTTAGGATTGGTAAATTGTTGCCATTACTACTCGAATACGAAAACCACGCAACCTGGAAAAATTCCATGAAAAAAATTTCGACTCGATACGATGTTAGTACTATCTTCTTCTTCGGCATCCGATGCCTTTGCGGTTTCTTCCTCGTTCTTCTCATTGAAAACATTTATGTTGTTATCATCATCAAGAACATCGCAGTCATTCATGAAAAACATCATCTCTTTCATTGTGACATTATGCCCAGGCAATTCCCACGACGCTAACTTCCAAAAAGCTTCTGCCACCTGTTCCTCTGTACTAAAAAATATACACATAAGCAGGTACTTTCGAATTTTATACAGCCTAATCAATGCTCTCTTTCGATAACGTTGCATCAAAAAATTTCACGGAATTCATCGTGTTTATCTACGTTTTATTAAAAACGAATAATTTAATAGTACAAATTTATACGGTGGCTGTCAATCTTGTTATTTCAAAATCCCTTTTTCCAATAATAGTCTTATTGCATGGCTTCAAATTTGCATACAGTAGATAAGTTTATCATCGCTCTACCGTTAATGATATAGTGAATTATCATTTTTTGCACCTATAGCTGTCCCCCTTCGGAGTAGTCAAAAATTTTACTGTTATATTTTTACGATTCACGATAATTGAATTATTCTTTGAATACTTTGAGACAAGATTTCAACCAAAAATTAAAGATGAAATCAAAACATGAAATCGATATGAAAACCGTGTTTGTTGTGATACGATGATTCCTAGGGCTAATCTCAGCTTTCCTATTTCTATTTCAAGGGCAAATCAAACCTTTGTATATGATTTTTCTCAGAACCATGTTATACACAAACGTCTCGCGCGAAAGCAATTTCACAGAGATCTACTGTCTTGTTGGCGAAAAAAAAAATAAAAGGGTCAAAAAAAGCCTTTTACTCACTTAACTTCCACAATTTCACAGCGTATCATCCTGTTTCGCTCTGCGTCCGAATAGTCCCGCACGACGATCGTTTGTTCGTAATAGTAAAACTCACGTTTCTCACCGTCACCGAGCTCGGGGAGATCGGGTATTCTTTTGAACAAGTCAGTCCCGATGAGTGATAGATCGGTGATGAACTGCTCGCTGGGGACTACCACCAGCAGTATCGGCGCCAGCCAGAAAATCGGCCGCATCTTCGAGACTCCGAGTTACGCGGGTCTTGCAAGAATTGAGCGTACCTGCGGGTGTTTCGAAAATCCACAGAGTATAAATGAACGAGCGAGAGTGGAAATTCGAGAGAAACCGGTTCGATGGTCTCGCTTGTGTAATTGCCCGACTCTCACTGTTTGACCCTGTTGAATCGCGTTTGTTCGAAGCCTTCAGTGGAGCACCTCCGAGAGAAGTCACGAGCGCGTTATCTGTTTGATAATAATGTTAGCCGAAATAATTTTTAGCCCGCGATGCTCGATTATGTCACTCGAAGCACTGGATAGTGGCGTTGTGTTTTTTTGATAAAGCTAATGGTTGCGATTTTTTAATTGATACGAGTTTCAATGTGTGATAATTGTAAATTAACAATTGGGATCTTGAAATTGGATATTATGTAACTCAATATCAAGTACTTGTACAATTTTTCGTTAAACATTGTAACTGGAAGTTTCAGAGTAATAGAGAACCGTTTTTTCCAATTGAAATGAATTTTCAGAAAAGATATCGATCGATAAAATCTAAGCTAAAGTTGCACTCAAGGGCAACGAAAAAAAAAAAGACTTAAACAAAAAACGATTAATAAGGTTTCCAGATTTGTGATTGATTGCATAGAGAAATAAAAGTGAAGAACTTTTTATACCTATTAAGAAATATAACTATATGATATCTAATAACAATCTAACTTGAAAAATATTTGTAATAAAGCTGTTCGAGTCCTGTGGTAAGTAGAGAACTTGAAAAAAACTTAAAGCCTCATGGCCACCCATGAATTGATACGTATAAAAAGTAACAAGATTTCACTTGCATTTTTAATTCATATTAGAAAATAATCAGATGAAACTGAATTAAACCGAATCCGTAAGTATTATAATACATGGAGCTGTTGAACAATACTTTTTTTTTTTTAAATAAAAAACGACACTCATCAAGACTATTTTTTTTTTTAACGAAAATATTTTATTAACGTAAAAGTTGGGTCAGTTGAAAAATTCTATCTTAAAAAATCGTCATTTGTGATAGCGTATGTACATTTCCAATAAAAACAACGTCTCGTCGATACAGAATTCATTGCTCCCTAATTTTTTGATTCTCTCGTGGACTTGCTCTAGCTGAATTTTTTCTGCAGGTGTCATCATGTCTGCGATCTACAACATTAAAAAAATTCTGTATTTACAATATGAATCAATTTATTCTAAGTATTGCAATGAGATTGGGCATACTTCTGCCAATTGCTCCTCGGGGGCTCCATGCTCTTTCATATTGATCGTTAAAGTTTGCATGCGTAATTCTTTATCAATCATTCGTTTGTTACTGTTAACTTCGTGCCCTCTCCTCTGTATAATGTTGTAAAGTGAATGATAACAATGTTCTATAGTCATTCTCACTACTTGATTGATATCTATGTGAAATAAGAAAAAAATTTTTGTTGGCCCTGTGGTGACTCCAAGTTTTTTTAATTCTTGAATCTGCAGATATTTTTCTTCCATGAGATTAAAGGTTAAAAGCTTTGCTTCTTTGGATCCCAACATAGCGACGTGTTGAATTTTTTCCTGGTCTATGTACTTATAGCTGCGTATTAACCTAGTATTGGAAATTTTTTTTTAATTCGTTGTAACTCAAATCAATGGTAGTAGAAAGTAAAACCAAGAGATTTTTTGATTACCTAAATATTCTAGATGCTTTAGATCCAAACCTCTCCATTACGATGTGTTCTATGGTAGCCCAAGCTAACTGATAAAAAGCTTCCCTTATATTAATACTATACTGCCCTCCCCCTGAGTCTCCAACTCTCTGTATGAATTGACTCGAATCATCTACTAAAAGAAAAATAAGATAAGTTATTTATTTATAAACATATACTCCATTCAGGTATTACCTATGAGTGACATATATTGATCAAGATGGGGTATAAGATGTGGAACATTTTTCCTTATACTTTCTCTAATGTCATTTAATGGTATTGGTATTGATGTATCAGACCATGCTGCAGTCCTGATACTCATTATGTACAACAGCTGCCTCATCAATTCTCCAGCTTTATCATCGATTCGCCTTGTTATTGCATTAACAAGAATTTGATCCCTGAAACAAAGAGAGGAAATCGATCACGTTTCTTGTTAAAAAAAAGTATATTTCATCATTGTTTGAAAAAAAGAAAATTACCTAAGATCTTCATTGAATCTATCAATATTCACCCTCCAGTATATCTTTTTGTCTCCTGCATCAGCTTCATACCCCTGTGTAAGACGAGTAATAGCCTTAATGTTGAGGTCAGGTAAACTGAAGTCAGGCTTATCGGTGGGAAGATCACTCAAAGTTTCAGAACTGAGACTGCGCAACAAATATTGATGTTGCAACAGCAATTCAAATTTTTCTTTTAAAACTGGTACTGTCGCTCGCCTTTCAGCTGTAAGTGGATCAAGCTTCATAAATCGTATCAAAATTGAATGATTTTTAATACTCACGAGGTAAATGTTCCAGTCTCTGGTAAGTTTTTACTATGATTTGTGATGCACTCTCATAACCACTTTTCAAGACTTCTTCCAGCATCATTTCTGCTTCATCCCCAATAATTAATTTAACATGATACATGTATCTAGAAAATAAAAAAAACTTCAGTCCTTCTATAGGGTGTTTACGTCGGCAACATAATATAAACGTGTACTTACTTTGGATACCTCAATATTGTTACTATTTTGTCGGTTTCCAAAGTATAAATTAAGCCTCTATCCGTTGGTTCGTACATGACAAACCCAAACTTGACAAGAACGCACATTGCTTCCTTTATCTGTAACAGTTTTAAATAATCATAATGGTTAATAAGTACCAGCACATTTGTCACTGCAAAAAACATAACATAAAACTGCACTTTCATGACTTCTTACACATTTTACAGAAAAATATTAACCTTGACAGAAGGGATTTTAACACTACTTGTGATCTGACTTAAAGTTCTAGTTCCATGCTTAAACAATTCAGCAGCGACTTCTGTGACGATAGAACCAAAATGTTCATGCAGCAGACACTCACAAAGTTTTCTTAGTATCAACGACATGATTGTTAATATAATTTCCTACGCACTTTGTAACAGATGTAAAAGAATAAATAAATAAGAAAAAATAAACATAACGATACATCAATTTAGCGTTTGCTAACTAGCCATTTTAAACAATTATTAACTAAAACCTCGCACTTAACCTATAAATTACACTGATGATTTGTTGACATCTGAGGTATAAGCATGTCTTTGATCAATGAGTTCAAAAATTTTCCGAAAGGAAATTAAAAGTGCAAGGTGCAATCTTGGGCCAAGCTTGGTTACCAAGCTGCTCCACATAGGCCGCTCTAGTGGATTTGTGATACGGGCTACGGTACGGCGCTGACTTGGGCACAGCTTGGGTGCTTGCCGCCACTATTAGCTTAACTTTAAAAATTAAAAAAATTTTTTTTCTAGTTTAGACTTAATCAGCGTGATCTAGCGAGACTGATTACAAACTTAAAAAACACCATATTTCTTTTGATGAAATTACTATAGTGACATTTTACTAGGCTCGTGTAACGTAACTATGATAGTATCGGTAAGAATCTACGTAACACTATAGCCTGTAGCAAAAGGTCTATTGGAGCCGATCTACTAGACCCTACACTCACATTCTAAAAATTCACTAAGAAAATTTACTAGAGGATAGTGTCCGTAGCGAAGGGTCTATTGGAGCGGCTCCGCTAGACCCTACGTTCACTTTCTGTAAATTTACACCGTAAAACTCACTATAGGCTAATGTCCACAGCGGAGGGTCTATTGGAGCGGCTCCGCTAGACCCTACGTTCACTTTCTAAAAATTCACTAAGAAAATTTACTAGAGGATAGTGTCCGTAGCGAAGGGTCTATTGGAGCGGCTCCGCTAGACCCTACGTTCACTACGTAGAAATTCACTTGTAAAACTCACAACAGGCTAATGTCCACAGCGGAGGGTCTATTAGAGCGGCTCCGCTAGACCCTATACACTCACTTTCTATAAATTCACTAATCCCCGTAGAAGAAGATCTATTATAAAAGCATGCATTAAAAAGACCGACGGCCGATAAAAAATTATTTGCAGAGTTCTGCTGCGATGACGTAATTTCCTGTTGTATCGACACCTGATGATTTGTAAATACCGACAGTCAATACGACGCGCACATGTATGGTATCTGTCATACCGACCGTAGATAATACCGACAGTCGGTACTTACCGGCTCTCAATAGCTACTATACTCGGTATTTCCGCCGATACAACAGGAATCTGTAATTGATTTCTTATCGGCCGTCGGTTTTTTAATACATGCGCACGAATTTGAAGGTCGAAATGTTTTTAAGTTTAAATTGGCCTCACTAGATGGCGCTGATCGTGAACTAAAAAAAACATAGCCGACGAAAGTTGGCCAAAAGTCATGGTTGGTTTCCCTAGTTAATTTCTAGGTAGTAAACGTATGGTCTAGCGGAGCCGCTCCAATAGACCCTCCGCTACGGGGACTAGTGAATTTTCAGAAAGTGAACGTAGGGTCTAGCAGAACCGCTCCAATAGACCCTCCGCTACGGGGACTAGTGAATTTTTAGAAAGTGAACGTAGGGTCTAGTAGATCGGCTCCAATAGACCCTCTGCTACGAACACTAGCCTGTAATAAGTTTTCTTAGTGAATTTTTAGAATGTGAGTGTAGGGTCTAGTAGATCGGCTCCAATAGACCTTTTGCTACAGGCTCTAGTGTTACGTAGATTCTTACCGATACTATCATAGTTACGTTACACGAGCCTAGTAAAATGTCACTATAGTAATTTCATCAAAAAAAATAAGGTGTTTTTTAAGTTTGTAATCAACCTCGCTAGATGATGCTGATTATAAACTGGAAAAAAATTAATACAATAAAACATAACCGACGATCAGATAAAAGTTGGCCGAAAGTTGTTTTAATAACATTTTAACGACATGGTATATACGTCACCTCGTGGTATCATTATCATCAGAGCTTCCCACAGTACCAAGTTTTTATAAAGCGGCAAAAGTTAAACTGTCAAGAATGATAATAAAAATACAACAAATGATACGTAAACATCAATACATCTAACTGACAACATATAATGTACTTAAAATGGATATTCAAATTGCGAGTAGAGATACCTAAATATGTGCTGCAGCCTGCACTTTAATAAAAAATAGAAATAGGCACAAGTACACGACCTGAGTGCTCGATGTTCTTTCTTTCGTAGGGTCGCGGTTTTTTTTCTATATAATATAATTATGTCGTCCGATCGTACGTCGAATCGTTTATCTTATATATCACTTTATATATATACCTTCGCGACTTCTGTACATAAATACCGTTGTCTTGCGCGGCTGCGCGCGGCGCGCCTAAGACCTAAGAGAAAGAAAAGAGACGTCAGAGAAAAAAAATGTAAGTCCTGTGTTAAATGAGGAAAAGAACCAGAGGCACTCGTCACATCAAAGAAGGATGTAATGTAAAGTATGTAAGGGAGCGAATAATAAATATATATATAGGTATGTGTGTAACAAGCATAAAAGAGCAGAACAGAATCAAAGAGAGAGAAAACATGACACTCCGAGATATAGAGTCTGATGGTTAGGTGCGCGCGCAGGCTCGATCGCCATTTTACGCGTTGTTTGGCTCTGGCTCTGGCTGCCTCCGAGGAGAGAGAGGATCAGAGGAGTAGCAGCAGCAGCAGCAGCACCCACCACAAAAACACACTGCTGCAGCCGAGAGAAGAGATGAAGCAGAGTAGGTAGTCCTCTCTCTCGCTTACTGTGTATGTATACATGTCTCTTCCTCCTGCGAGCTTTTGGAGCTGACCCGCGTCCTAGTCGTCCTCGGGAACAAAAACAAGTCCCAGTGCAATATTCATACATTACACATGTGTAAGTGGAAAAAAACATACATGAGCGAAAGAAGAGTCGAGAGTCGAGCAGTGCCGTAGAAAAGTGTTAAAGTGGAAAGGATATCTAAACGGAAAACCATCCAAAAGTATATAATTATCAAGGAAGAGAAGGAGGATCGCGCGCGAGTCCTCCCCCCTCCGTGTGTGCGCGTATACGTATGTGAGTGTGTGTCCGCACCCTAAGTGATAATTAACATACACGACGCTCGCTACAGTGAACCACAGGGGACAGAAGAAAAAAAAACGGATCTCCGTCAGGATGCAGCAGCATCCGTGGCCCTTACGTGACAGCCGAGCCTTACTCTCGTTGTAGGCTCTCTCTGTCTGTCTATTCATTTCGGACAGCAGTGGCAGCAAGCTGGCCTTCTAGCGCGTTATCCAGCCTGTCAAGGTGGTCGCGATAGATTATAAGGACGCAGAGCTGGCGCTCTTGTTGCCAAAAGAGCTGCTCTCTCTCGCACGTCCGATGATAATAATAGTTAAAAAATAGGTGTAGTGGTGCGCGAGTGCGCGGGGAGGCAGCGAGTCCGTGTGTAATATAATCTTTCTCAATATTCTCGTCGTCGTCGTCATCGTTGTGTATATAAATATATAATAATAATATACCTCTCCTTCTGATGTATTAAATTTTGTGTGTGCAGACAGTGCGTTTGTGTGCGTGTAAGAAGAAAGAGGAGTTTTGGAGCAGAGAGTATATACATCACAACCAGCGGAGGACGTCTTGGTCGTACAAAATACGCGTACGTAAATTGTTGTGGAGGAGAAAAAGAGCAGTGAGTTGCTGGAGGAGGAGAATAAGGAGAAAAAGAGGAGTAGCACATCATAATACACAGATATTCGAAAGAGCAGGAGCCTGCCCGGAGGAGGGTAGGCTCTCTCCTGGGATTCAACCATGAGTTCGCGCAACATCCCCGCGGACAAGGTAAAAGCAAATCATACCTATCGTTCAATCTAACGTATAAAAATATATCCATTATCCTTGTATTTAATGTATATCATTTCATCCATAATGTTCATTTAGGTATTATATTGTATGTTGATGTGCAGTCTGTAAGTGTTTGTTCATATCCACGTATTGTTATACGGGTGTATAATGTACTATACACCTATCTCCGTCACTGCAGCTGCTGCAGCAAAGAGCAGTAGGTACAGCCATAGTACAGCAGCAGCGGGCCGATCTTTCTTGACCCAGTTTCGGATCTGGCTAGCTTATAGCTGCCGCTGGTGTTGGCATCGGTTGCAACTGCATTTCCCAAACATACCTACCTAGCAGCAGTATAGTTTCATTCCATCTCTCGCGACTCGCGACTGCCCTCGACTCCCTCCTCCACCACCTCCTGATTCCTTTCCTCTCTCCGCGTCGTCGCGCTCCTTCGCCCACCTACCCTTTTTGTCGGTCTCGCTTCTTTCTCTCTTTCTTTACCTATGTCCCTATGTGACTGTATGCATCTATACACATATATGTATATACCTACGTATGCGCCTAGGTATATATATGTATAAACGTGTGCAAATTCACCCTCTCTTCCCCTCTTGAACCCCCAAGTGCAACGCGAAATCGATGAAAATATGCTACTGTGCTACTGCTTCTTCACGCTGTGAGAGAGAGAGAGAGAGAGAAAGAGTTCTTCAAGTTTTCCTCTTCCTTTGACGTCATTTTTTTTTTTCATTTTTTTTCTAATACAGAATAACGAGCTGCTAAAAACTGCTGTTGCCGTACACTTGTATTATTGTTGTTGTTATTGTGTTTGTTCCAAAATTAACGATCCTCATCGCCGTTGGTATTTAAATTTTTCCGGACAATACAATAAAAAGGTGCAAAAACAACGCTGCAACGTCCATTTCGGCGATTATTATCAGCCCACCAGTGTTTACCGAAGTGTTTACCGCTGATTCGATCTGTCTTTTTTTTTTTTTTTTAGTTAAGTTGAAAAAAAAACGAACAACAGCGTCTCAATATTTTTTAAATGTTAAAACGTAAAATCTTCGTAAAATCTATCAACGCGAGATTGCGTGAGCATTCGTTGAAACGCGCCGAAGCTCCCATTTGACATTTCCACCGCCACTACGCGATGTCAACAGCAGTTGATGTATAAAGAGCCTTTTGCAAAAGCATTTTCGCCTTGTCTCCTCGTCATCATCGATATGCGCATCTGCAATTGACACGTGTAGGTATACATACATATACCCATACTAAAATATGTGGGTCCTCCGAAAGAGCTGCTGCCGCTGTATCAAAATATACTCACCTATATACTCTGCAAATTGTTTGAAAATACAAAATCGCATCTCTTTTTAAGAGCATGTACAATACTATTGAACGAGTTATTGACTTGCAAGTATAAGGTATACCGCATGCAATGACGCAAACAGCGACTTTTCATATACCGATATGTATATCAACAATTTCAAGTACCAGGTGTATATATAGGTATACCTTGTACCTGTGTCATGCCCAAGAGTTACGATGTAAGGAAAAAAAAAATATATATATAGGTATAATAGCACGGGATGAGATACTGCAAAAAGAGTATAATGTAAGGTGGGCAAAGGTTACACAGACACACGCTCGTGTCACGTTGCGAGGTTGCGATCGTTTTTATTTTATTTTATTTTTTTGTTAGTTTTTTCTTTTTACTGCATGTGTATTGGTATCTCGTGCAACAGACACACGCAGCAGAAGTCGATCGTATAATGTTATGATACGCAAACCTTTACTTAAAGCTCGCCCGTGGTGGCAAACTGGTTTTGACGTTTCCGCGTTCGTCTCTCTTTATGACTCGAGTATTTTATAATTATGCGCCGCTGCATAAATACGCGGCATCGAGATGGCATGTTTGCACACGGGAGCCGTCTTTTACATCATATATAATATACTTATCTGTATGTTCCGTAGCATGAACATTTTTTTCTCCCTCACCTCTTTTAAAAACTATCAGATTTCCGAAATAAAAAAGGTATACCTACGTGTATTGTATGTGTATATATATGTATGAACATTCAAGTTAATGTAGGGTGTATATATGCATGTATACACAACCCTTTGGTGAACGAGCGATTATTTGGGTCATCAGCTGTTTCGCGCTTCGTTCGCGAACCGCGAAACATGTCCCTGTTTTAACCGAAGTGAGAATTTGACCGTTCGCTTGATCCCCCCAGTAAGTATAAAGGTTTTTACAGTCAGGGTTGTACAGCTCGAGTTATGAAAATTTTCCTCGCGTGTGAGATTTCATTTCTTGTTCATGGCATGATATAAATGGACACCTTGCACAGCTTTGTAAGTACGCCTTAACATATTGTAAAATGAAAGTATTTATTAAGATACACCGTGTGTTGTATCGAGCAAAGATTAAGGTCTGCTGCACTCGCGCAAAACAAATATACCTAATGTATGTAGTTTTTTTTTTATTTTATTTTTTTTTATTAGGTTCTGATCTCAGTGAGGTATAAACAACTGTATATAGTTATATAGGCATAGGTACAGGACACACGTGCATTTAATTATATATTCATCGCAAAACTTCAATGGTTTAATTTTTATAACCACTTCTGCTGTTCTGCTGCTACGCCCCACAATGAAATACGTACTTTTTTTTAAAAGAGTCAAGCGTGTGTGTGGGTTTTTATCGAATGCATTTTATTAGTCTCATGTCTCTCACTCTGTCTCTCTTATCAGACTTTTCGTGCAAACTTTTGCATTTATATTGATACACGTGGCGACGACGCGTAGTTGTATAAACATCATCGCTGCTGTTTTTTCTTTTCCCTCGCCATATCTTTTATTTATACCGTTCATTAACAACGACACTATACACCACAATGGTCTCAGTAATACACAATTGTTTTTTTTTTCTTCTTTTTAACATGTTCAAGTGCAGTGTATTTTTGAAATTCCATGGATACAAGGTCAATAATACTTACTTCTACTCTTCCAAGCCTACACCTACGCCTATACGCATGGTCTGTTTATTTTTGCTTGGATTGGCGAAAACAAGTAAGTAGAGCTCGGTGGATTCGTTGTGTGGGAGGCAGCAAAAAATTGCCATTGGGTATTTTGTATTGAAAATTGAAAAAAAAAAAATGTAGTGGCCGATGTGATACAGCGAAACCGATCCGACACCTACATCACCACATCCAGCAATCCATGCAAGGATGTGGCTGGCTCTGCTTCGAGGAGTCCATCCGTAAGGCTATACCTACCATCCTTGTATGGCTTAGCCCACGTGCGACGCTGCACCGGACACTCGGCTCTCGAATTTCAATTTCTGGCTAGACAAAAGCAACAGTGTAAGAGTAACGCGGCAGCCAGCATCTTTTCCATACTGTGTATGGGCTTTAGTGCTATAACTTACATGCTACACCCATCCCCGTATATGTACTCGAGAAACAAGAGAGGAAGAGGAAGAGAACCCGCGCGCGCGCGCGTGTGTCGTCGTTCGCCACCTGTTCGAGCTTTTTTCGCCCTGTGTCTCGGCATTTTTTTTTTTTTTTTTTTTTTTCTTCCGCACTCTTATTATAATGCCTGCATGGGTACTCTACTCCGAGAGCACGCACTGACGCACTTGCACTAAGGTACTGCTCCGACGCTTTTCCTTTTTCTTTCTCCTCAAGCACAAAGGGGAATACGGAGTGTTTTTCTGCTTGATATTTTTTTTTTTTCTTTTTTTTTTCCATGCCAATGTACTTGTAGGTGGAAATTTATGATTCGAGAGGTTTTCGTTAAAAATCATTCATTGATTACAGAAAAAAAAAATTTTGTCTGACACAGTGTGTATTTATTCTGCAATAAATGTGGTGGGAGTATATAATATATAGTGGTATATATAATGATTGTCTCGGTATGTTTATTAAGACTTTAATGATTGTTTGTGTCCGCATCAACAGGATTAGCAGTGACACACACACGAAAGCTGTAAATCAATAATAAACAAAGTATGCGGGTATATAAAGAAAAATTTATTGTTTCCTCCTTTGGGCGGTGATAAATCCGTACTCTGTGTGTGTAGACACAATATTTTTCTTCTCTTATCAGACAAGAGTCCATTAGCGAGTGCTTATTATTATTATGCATCGATATACTTACACATGTGTTCCTTGTGTTCATTGATAGATATATTCTCAAATGACTGTACGCATGCATATAAATATACAAGTGAGGATACTATACGTAATATGCCCTCTGCTTTGATAAATTTTTCACTTGAGCACACAAAAACCAGCCCGTGAATAATTCGTACAAGCTGTGTTTTATTTTTTCACACCAAAAACAACAACAATCATTTTGGGAGTCTAAAAAAAAGTACATTTGTATTTTTCACGAGTATTTTTATCTTAATTCCAAGCGAATCGAAATCAAAGAGAGAATTAGACACAGTCGGATAAATGGTGGGCTGGCCGAGGCTGGCAAGGTCCCTCGCGGAGAGTGCCATTGCGGCTCAATTGACGCGGCGCTAATTGCTGAAATCGGGATCGGCCGGTGCGAAGGTCGTCACCACAGCTGCACGTTAGCTCTTGCTGATGGGAGAGCGGATGATGACGAAGCGGTGTAGGAAGTTGTATATACCCACTTATTTACTTACTTGTTTATACATTTTTTTACTCTACTCTGATGATGACGATCATGCGTGTACTTTATGGCTGTAATGTATACACTGTGCTACACGACGTCTTTGCCTTGAAATTGTACATTGCTCACGCATAAATTGATAAAAAGGGGAAACGAGACGAAGGTAGTACACGCGCGCGCGTGCACAACTATACGTAGGTATATGTAGAAACCGGTAGAAACCGAGAAAAAAAGAGATCGAATGTCGCGCGCGCGTGTGTGTATAGTATTATAATACCAATACTCAGCCTATATATTATATACTTTATACTAACATAGTGTGCCTGTCTGTCGAGATTTAAATGCCACTTCGGACA